CATTTTGGTTTCTGAAAGGATGAAGAAAGGCAACGAAACCTTTATTAATGCTTAATTTATGTCAAGCACTGTGCTAAGCAGAAAAAAAAAATTGTGTGTGGAACACAGATAAAATATGCTTGAGAAGAAATACAGCCCATGAGATAAAAGTACGTGAGGTGAAGACACAGTGTTCTGAGAGGACTGGAAAAAGAACAGTCTTTCAGAGGCAAAAGCCCTAAGTAAAAGCAAAGATGGCTGAAAGGCATTGTGGTCCATCAGCTCATTTAAATATGCCTGTTTTCAGGGTTTTGAAGAAGATCACTGAGAAATTCTAGATTGAAGAACTGTCTGGGGACTACGGGAAAATTATTTTTTGATCGTATGATGCCTCATAGAACTGTGGGCTTTGGGTTTTTCAACTGGAATAAGAGATGGGTCACTACTAAGGTGAGAAGGCAAAGGTCAGAAGGACAAGAAGACACAGCTTCTACCTGAAGAGGAAATTTCACAGCACTGACTACTCCTTACTACCTCAGGGAAGCAAATGGAGCAGAATGGAAGGATGAAGGCAGCTGCTTAAGTAGGGAATTTCTGAGAGAGTGGACTGAACGAAGCCTTGGAATTCTTTTTGGAAGAAGCTGAATCCTCCTACTGTTTGACATCAAGTCAAATGGAGTCAATAGTCACTTATTAAACACCTATTATATACCAGCCACTGTACTTTAGCACCCTCTAGTATTTGAGAGCTGGTGGAAGGAAGACAGAAAAACCCTTCAGGTGCTCTGGGAGCTGACTGGAGGAAAGCTGGAGCTGGCCTGGGATTATCACCCTTTAGTGCCTGCCATCTATAGCCTGAGCCCTGGGAAACCTGTTCCGGGTACTGACTGCATTGCTTTCTACTCTGTTAGACTTGATAGGGAGAAACTCCTCAGAACCCCAGAGAAATGAACTGAGAATCTCTGTGCTTCTCAAGCTTGAGGGTGCTGCTTGTCATGGAAACAGCTAAAAATTGTTTTGGCCCTCAGCCAAAGACCCAGACCTGGAAGCAACAGACTCCGGGATTAGGGCTACTGTTTCACTGATAGAGTGTAATACTATTGTTTTACTAGAAGGTGGGGGTAAGAGAAGGGCACAAGCATCTGTTAACTGTGTGCTATATGCTGGGCCATTTGATTCTTACGAGAACTCTGGGAGGTAGGTGCTACTATTATCCCCATTTTATGACTGAGGAAACTGAGGCAGGCAGGATTAAAAGATTTACCGGGCTTACTCAGCTATTAAGTGTCTGATGTCAGATTTGAACTCAGGTCTAACTGATTCTAGGCCTTGGGCTCTGTGCATCGAACCAGGTACCTCTGAGTAGTAGAGAAGTAAAAGACAGCAAGAAAATAGAGAAGCTCAAGAGTAGGTAATAAACAGTATAGTATCCTGGAAGATACCACCAATATCTAGATCTGCAATCCAGAATCTTGACTTGCCCCAGGCATGTGAGTTTCACTACTCATGTGGCTACATTTCTGTGAATGTGTGTCTCCTGTCTCCTATAGACAATATGTGAGAGTGTGATCCATACTTAAGGGTGGATTCATACTTGGATTATTCCTGCTTTTGCTAGCTACCGAGTAAATGTTATGTTATATTTATTATTGCTTTGGCCTTCTCGTTCAGTAAATGAAAATGTTTCATGTTTAAGAGTTTATTGTGACTTTGTTGTTTAAATGAGAAACACTGGTGGGGACTAAGGACTTTCAGTGGTGAGGAGCAGTTAATGTATCCTCCCCACAACAGATTTTCCCTTAGGAACCTTAAGAGTGAGTTGTTGCTTTGTGGTCATTTCTCTGGGGAACCACTCCGACCAGCCAGTGTGAGTGCAGGATACCACCCACTTCAGGAAGAAAGAGCTTAGAGAAAATTGGGGAGATTGATGTCATGCCTGTGCTACATTTATATATGGGTAGGTTTCTCTCCAATATAGAATGTATGCTTCTTGAGCCAATGATTGCTTCCCTTTTTTGTCTTTGTAGCCCCAGCATCAAGCACAGTGCCTGGCATACAGTGGATAAGTGCTCATTGATGTATTGATTGATTTATTCTTATTTCAATAGTCCTCGGATGGAAGGTAGTTAGGAAGTGTCCTGTCATTGGAAGCGTTCAGACTTATTAGACTTATTAGGGATGCTATGGAAAAAAATTCATGTATCAGGTAGATTTGGGACTAGTTCAAGGGTGGGAAACCTGCAGCCTTGAGGCCATGTGGAGTCCTCTGGGTCCTCAAGTGAGGCCCTTTGAATTCAAACTGCATAATAATAATAAAGTGGATTCAAAGGGCTGCACTTGAGGATCTAGAGGGGCATACGTGGCCTTGAGGTCACAGGTTCCCCACCCCTGGACTAGATGATTTCTCTTTCCCTTCCAGTCTTGGATTCCTTGGCTTTTAACTTCTCTTTCTCCCTGAATTCCTATTTCCTATTAGCTACCAAATTTGGTAAATTTAAAAAAATTTGTCCTTTCCCTTCCCTTTTACTGTTTCTCTCCAAGTTCTGCCTTTTATCGTACCTGACTTTTTGCCCTAATCCAGCTGTTACCCCTGCTTCTTGTACCTCCCACTGCAATCTACCCTGCAACATTGCTAGTGTTTTAATTGTCATCATATCATTCACCTGCTTGTAGAAACCTTCAGTGCCTTTCCACCACCTGGATTCCATTATGTAGTAATGCCTTGCTTGAGCAAACAATCATAGTGTCCTCCCAGCACTTACCTCTCACACCAGCCCCAAGAGCTCTGCCTTACCTAGGTTGATCTACTACCCACTGTCTCCTGAGCTAACTTTATGCATTCCTGTCTCTCTTGTTCCTCATATACTTTCCCATCTCTTTTCTATTGACTGGGTTCTCTTGAAAAGCCCCAAAGCACCTTCTCTGACCACCCTAGGACACAGTGATCTTTCCTTCTGTACTTAGAACCTTTTCTGTATGTGATGTTGATTTGGGAATTAATCTTGTACTCACTGCCCTGTAGCATTTTTTGCGTCACTGAACTCTGGCATAGTATACTTCACTTTCCAGTCATTTAATTTCTTTGAGGGCAGGAACCATGCCTTCTTCGACACTTTCATACCTTCCGAAGACAGCACAGACCATTCCATATATAACTCATTTGTTCATTGTATGTGTCCCTAGGACCTCCCACAAAAACTGAGGTTCAGAGAACTCAGTTAACTTGCTTAATTAATTTTGCAGCACATTGCACAGTAGGTATTTAATGAAGGCTTGCTTATTGTTGACATTAGCTGACTGAAATGAATGAAAAGTAGAATGTAAACTCTAGTCAAATGTAAGCTTTTTGAGAGCAAAGACTTTTTTTTTTGTCTCTGTGTTTGAATTGGGGCATATTTATTTTTTTGCTTCCTACAAATTATTCCCACCAGGACTTAAGATAGTCTAAAAAGTAGATTTTATTTTATTTTTTAAAGCAAAGCTCAAGACGATGAAATAAATACTAGCTCCAAATGTGTCTTTTGGAATTATGAAACAAGATTGCCATAATTTAGAAAAAAAGTCAAGTTTTTAGTTTCAAAAAGGATTTTTAGGCAATAGCTACTAGCAAAATGACCTAAACTAGGGGTGGGGAACCTGCCATCTCAAGGCCACATGTGGCCTTCTAGGTCCTCAAATGTGGCCCACTCCTGCCCTAAACCATCTCTTTTCATAAATTTAAAGACTTTATAATTACATGGTAAAAGAAATAGTTGTTTCAAAAACAACTTTGAATATTAAAATTCAAAACTATTCCCTAGTGTGAACAACATTCCTCTGGGTTAATGGACAGTGATGGAGTAATATTTTAAAGGTCATACCTTAAATAACATACCTTTACATAATACAGATGTCCACAGGCCCAGTTAATGATAACTTGTAACTTGAGAAGTTTACTTTGTCGTAACACAGTAACCTTAGGATATTCAGAGCTTCTGTCTCTTTTTTTATGCCTCCTTTCCTTTTTATCTGATCTCTCTCTCCTCCTCCTCTTCATTTCCATTCTCTTACATTTTTTTCCTCCTCTTATCCTTTACTCCCTCTATTTCATTCTTTTTTAACTTATCATGTAGCATTAAAATAGTTATTAAATGAAATTTTATTCTTTTTTAAAATTTATTTTATTTTTAATTTATGGAATAAAACAAGTATTTCCTTAACAGTACAATTAAAAAAAAAGATGATTGCACATGAAACTGCAAATCTGCTATGTACAACTTGCTATTCCTTTCAAATAGACAACAAAATTGTCATGTAAATGTATTTTTTTTCCTTTTTTTCCTTCCCCCTCAAACCTCCCCCCCACCCCAGCCTAGAGGTGGCTACCATTTGACACAGATAGGTATGTGTGTAAAATTATTCGATGCATACTTCTATTTATCCAGTTCTTTCTCTGGATGCAATAGCATCTTCCTTCATATGTCCTTTATAGTTAATTTAGATATTTATAATTGTCAAAATAACTTATTTGCTCAACGTTGTTCTTAAAACAATATTGCTGTTACTGTATACAATGTTCTCTTGGTTCTGCTCACTTTGTTCTTTGTTATTTTGTGCAAGTCTTTCCATGCTTTTCTAAGATCATCTCTCAGCACAGTAGTATTCCATCACAATCATATACCACAACTTGTTCATCCATTCCCCAGTTGATGGGCATCAGTGAAATTTTATTTTTAATTTTTTAAGTGGGGGTACACTGAGCATTTTCTACTCTTCATACATTTAAAGAAACTGAATTATTTAACCAGTTTATTTTCTCCCCTGTAGGGTAAGAATCCTTGATTAAAATACAGGGGTATTTTGGCAAAAGGGGCAGTATAATTTGGGAAAGGAGAAGGAATGATAATGATATAATTACAAAAAAAAATTTTTAGAGGAAGAAAATGAAGTAATTACCTACCTCTTGCTTAAGTGGATTTGTATTCTTCCATAGTAAGCAGTTAGTAAATGCTGGTTGGCTGACTTAACTTTCCTAACTAGTCATGTTAATTGCAGGTATCTACCAGGAAAGGATGGTAAAAATAACTTGTGATCTGTGTCCTCAAAATGATGAACGTGGTGTACTATATGTCTCGCAAGATTTGGAATTAGTAGCACACCAAAATTGTTTGGTAAGTTATCTGAGTGAATATTAATTTTTTTGAGGGGGGAGAAAGGTTGACTGTTGCTCTAGGTGCTGAGGAAATACTTCAGATGCTTTGTCCCAAGTAATATTCTGCATTTTCTTTTAAAAAAAATTATAAACTCAACCATCTCAAAAAACACCAAAAATACTTTTAAAAACTAAAATAGGGAATAAGATACAAAATAAAACCATAGAACTTGGACTATTTACATAATGATCATCAGTAATTAGGGAAGCTAGGTGGTACAGTGGATAAGAGTGCTAAGCCTAGAGTTAGAAAGACTCCTCTTCCTGAGTTCAAATCTGGCCTCAGACACTTAATAACTATGTGACCCTGGGCAAGTCACTTAACCTTGTTTACCTCAGTTTCCTCATCTGTAAAATGAGCTGGAGAAGGAAATGGCAAACCACTTCAGTATCTCTGTCAAGAAAACCCCAAATGGGGTTACAAAGAGTCAGATATGACTGAAAAACAACTAAACAACAAAAAAACCCAGTAATTTATTATTTCCATTACAATGGATCCATGATGTCGTTGCTAGGGCTACTCCCTGCAATGGTGCCAATTACAACCTACCCATTCCTCATTCTATAGAACTCACATTCATGCCCTCCTCTTAATTCTCTGTAGGGGCTTGACTCAGCGTCCTGGAATCTTTCTCCTAGATCCTTTAATATTCTGTGATTACTAGTGTAGTATTTGAGCTTTCTATCTCTTTTCTCTCCCTTCTTGATGTGTGACTGACTCCCCTCCTTTTCCAATCCTACATCTGCAGCATGAAACCTTTTATGGAACTTCTCAAGAAGAGGTAGTAGTTGGCAACATACTGCTACTTACCTACCTGTGCCTATCAGACATCTTTCCATTGCCTTAATTCTTCAGAAATTATAATGTTTCTTAGTAGATTTCAATAGGAGAAAAAAAATAGAAACTTTAATAAACTTATTTTAAAAACTGGTTTACCAGTGGCACAGTGGACAGAGTACTGGGCCTGAAGTCAGGAAGACATAGTTCAAATTTGGACTAAGACACTTGCTAGCTGTATGACTCTTGACCACTTAACCCCTGGTTGCCTCAGTTTCTTCAGCTGCAAAATGGGAATAATAACAGCACCTACATGTAGGATTATCATGAAGATCAAATAAGATAATATTTATTTTAAAAAATTGCTTAGGACAGGGGTAGCTAAGTGGTGCAGTGGATAGAGCTCTGGCCTTGGAGTCAGGAGGACCTGAGTTCAAATGTGACCTCAGACACTTAACTCTTACTAGCTGTGTGACCCTAGGCAAGTCACTTAACCCTGATTGCCTCTCCAAAAAGCAAAAAAAAAAAATTGCCTGGCACATAGTATAAATGCTTATTTGCTTCCATTCCCCTTCCTCCCAATAATTTCTTTGACTCACTTACAAAATTTTGCTGCTGTTATTGTTTTTTAATGTAGTCATGATCAGCCTGAAAATTGTTCTGATTCTGCTTTTTTTACTTTGTATCATTTCACCCAAGACCTTCTATACCTGTTTCCTCTTTGTCATACTTTGTAATACAATAATTATTAATTACACAGAGTATTTAATAACTCCCCGATCATTGGACATCACGGTTGTTTCCAGTTTTTCGCTATTTCAGATAAAACAACTGATTATTTTTTGTATGGACAGATCTTTTTGTGCTTTTAACAACATCCTTACAATATGATTCTTGAAGTAGTTTTGCTGATTATCACTGATTATCAAGTGGTATTGAGGAAAGAGAAGTGGATTTGGAGTCAAAAGTCCTAGGCCCACATCCCAGTTCTTCAACTCATTGATTATCTGACCTTGGGCAAATCATTTAAACTTTTAGGGTCTTACTTTCTCTTCTGTAAAATGAAGGTTTTGACAAGATTATAGGAAAAGGCCCTTTCAATTCTATAAAAATCTTTTTGATCCTATGTTTTCCAAAAAGACTGCCAATTTTTAATTCTACCAATAATATGAAACAATACCTCAAAGTTATAATAATAACAATAATAACTAACATTTATAAAGTGCTTTAAGGTTTCCAAAGTGCCTCAGCTTCCTTATCAATAAAATGGGGAAAATAATACCTAATAACAATCCACAGAATTCTTATATCAAATGAGATAATGTATATAAAGCACTTTACATGCCTTAAAATACTATACAAATGTAAGTTACTATTACTTTAACACTTTATTTCATTGGTCCCTCACAATGACCTTATGAGGTAGGGGCTATTAATTTTCCCATTTTGCAGATGAAGAAACTTTATAATTCTTATTGGCTCTTTATAGAGTTAGAGTCTGGATATTAGATTTTTCCCATGATATACCTACCAGAAAGATTTTCCAGCTGTTCATTTTCTTTTTATTTTCAATACTTTTCTTTCTAGCATGCAAAATCTATTAGTGTTTATGTAATTAAATCCATTAATTTTGTCTCCCCTTATTTTTTCTTAATAAGCATATTTCTTATTCATAATTAAAATTAATTCTCTTTTCTCAGTCAATTAGTCAGTAAGCATTGATTAATGAAGAGAAGAGAGCTTGTTGGAATAATATTACTTTAAAGTAGATTAAGCAAAAATTACTAAAGAGACAAAGTATTTTCCTTACAGAGAAAGAACAGCAAAACCCTAATTCAGAAAAAAAGGAGATAAATGGAGGAAAATATAAATCTAACTCTCATAACTTTAAATGTGAAGAGATAACAGCAACTCATAAAATGAATGAGGGTGAGAGATGGTATAAGAAAACTGACATGACAAATTTTAGCCTGGTATTTCAAGTTAAATCTGTCTACATATTTTTGTAGGAGATATGTTTTCTGTAAATACATTGGATTTTTTTAAAAAATCATTACATTGATAATCAATAATTATCTATCACAACTATAAAATTCCACTCATTTAACTATTTGTTAAATTATTAATATTATCAGAAGAAAGTAAAGAACTTTATTTCTATTATTAATCAAACTCAAACACTAAAGAGTAACTGTGTTTTATGCTAGTAGTTATTTTTAAAATTAGATATCCCAGCCCTCCTTGTCAAAGATAATAACTTTGTTAAGATCAACTCTCTTTCTCTTGCCTTTTATTTTCCCTTTAAAAAAATTAGCAACATCATTTTCTTTCCAAACTTAACTCTCTTTCAGTAATTTAGCCAACACTACATTGTATTTTTATTTATTCATAGTGGTTCTTAGTATAAAATAGCAAGTATTAATCATATCTGAAAAGTACCTATTACTTTAAATAAATATTTAATTCTCGGGATCTTTTCTACTCGGTTCCAAAGGCTCTTTAGAGATCTTAGTCTTTTTTTTAATTAATTATTTGAGGCCTGTTTGATTTTTAATATTTTCTGGCTTTCAAAAAATTCTTAGGTTTGCTAAACTGATTCTGGTATTGTGAGTCCATGTTTTTCAACTAGATATATAGGGGTGTATATCTTACTCTAATTTTTTCAGTTATTTCTTTTTTTCAGAGAAACAATCTCATGAGACCAGGATTTACATATCTATGTATCTAACCACTAAGTATTGTTCCTTTGGCCTCCTCATTTTAAAGTTTAAGGATGATGTACCAGAATGAGTTGAACTTTAAGCTTCTCCTTTTTGGAATCTCTGGATTATTTAATTTCATTTTTTGAGAATAATTCTGTGACCGTTACTTAACTGTAGTTATCAGATTCTTTTCTTCTTCTTTTTTTTCCCCCAGGATCCCAATAATTGAGTGTGTTTTTTTCTGTCTCCCAAATCATTCACTTTGATCTGTTTGACCTTTATATCTTTTTCCAGTTATTTTCTGAGCTCATTTTCCCTGCATTATCTATCATTCTGTCTTCCACTTAATTGTTCTTAGTTGCATTTAATCATATTTTCAAATTTCCTATGCTATTTTCTATTTTGGCACGCTTAGCCATTATTTTCTCCCAACACTTATTCAGTACGTTCAATTATTTCTTTAGTTCCTTCTAGGCTTTCTTACGTGTGTTAAATTTTTTTTGTTGTTGCTAATTTCAGTTTTTCTTATAATTCCTTGATATTCTGTTGTGATCTGCTTGAACATAATCCCCAGGATACTGTGAGTTGTTTCTTAGATTTTCTTAACTCATTCTGGTATTGGGAGCTCAAGGGTTTTTTTTTGTTTGTTTGTTTTGTTTTTACCTTTCATATGTTTGTTATATATTGTTTTGTTATGTGTTTCTTGTCACTCCAAAATTTATTTTTTATTATATTTGTGCTCCTTTACAATTCACTTATTGCCTTTTTGGTGAATCTTAACTTTTTATGATGATTTCAAGCAGTTGTTTCTTATTGGTGCTTTTATTATTATTATTATCATTACTTTCAGGAGTATAAGGAGCATGGTTCCTTTGACATCTCTTACTTTGTCATCTCCAAGGAATTTTACTGGCTCTATTTTCTTAATGTATTTCTCTGTTTCCAGTTAGGCAATTTGGGATCACTTGGCTTCCTACTTTTTTTTGTACCCTATTATAATACACAGGGAAAGAGTTATGATAGACTTGCAAACACAAAATACCTATGGATAAGGAGTCTGTGAAACAGGCAGGAGATTGTTTTAAAAAACGGTGCTGCATAAATAAATGCAAATTAGTTTTTTTAGCACCTTTGCTTTCTTCCAAGAGAGAAAAATATAAAATAATGTATTTGTCCACACTTAAAAATAAACAAAATATTTATTTCAGTGTTTTACCATATTCAGTTAAAGAAGGAAAAAAATGGGAAGGCCAGGGAAAGAAAACAACCTAGAAGGAATCAGATACAAAAATAGAGAAGAATAGACATGTTTAAAAAAAAAAGATAGCAAAAGAGATGGACTCACACACAAAGACAGATGAGAGGGCAGATAGAAATATACAGAAAAACTGGAGAGAAAAGACCTAAGTTACTTATTCAGTGTGCTGTTTTAGAGGGAAAAGCTCAATATTAAGTCAATATTGCCAGAATTTGTTATAAGAGGTGTCTTAATTTGTACCTAAAGTTTGGAAACGTTGACTTGTATGTAATCTTCTTTTGGCCTTTTGAAATTTCATATTTTGGAAAATGAGGAGGATTGTACCTCATTTCTGACAAAGAAGGCCTCTTTCCACAAATGACATCATCAACCCTCTCACTGTTTGGGATGCTGCCACTTTTAAAACCATTTTGGAGTTTTACAACTCTTGAGCAATAAAGGAGTCATTTCTTGGTATTTGTCCCATGGGCTGGATGAAATTTGCCAAAAGTGAGATCTGCTTCCATGGTATGAAAGGAGGGGAACCAAGGAAACCTCACAAAATCTTTTCCTTAAGCATTTTGTTTTAATTTTTGAAGGGGTAGGGAATGTCTATGTAGCTGGCCTCCCATGTGCTCTCCCAAACTTCTAAGTTCATGGGAGTTTATGTAAAAATGAACAGGAGCCAAACAGACTGGGTTATGTTGGGAATAAATAAACTGGCTTTCATGCTCATCCCCCTTTTCTTTCTAATTCCTACTGGAATTTGAAATTGTTTTTCCCTCTCTGCTTATCAAAACAAGGTGAAAAGTCCCTTCCAGGAACTGGACTTCAGTCACCTAATAATATATCTTTTTGTCAAAGGAAAAGTAATAAGCAAATTTGAGAAAGAAATTTGTTTGCATGTGTAAAACTGATCTTCCACCTGGCCTGGCCTTCCCTGTTTTCTAATCCTTTGTTGTGAATACCCTTTTATACAATACACTAATTTTTTTTTCATCTATAGTTATATTCTTCAGGACTTGTGGAATCTGAGGAGGATCATTCTTGTTTAAATGATCAGGACAGACATTTTGATGTGGAGCTAGTGAAAGAGGAAATCAATCGAGGAAAGAGATTGGTAAGTTTAAATGATTTCATGACCTATAGTAGAGGCTAGTAAAAAGGTGAAGGATCTGGAAGACTGAGTGGATCACATGCAAAAATGAACCCTTTATAAAAATTTGTTTATCATTTTATCATAGAATTTAATTATATTCTCCCATTCAAAATACCTACAAAAAGGGCACAAATTTGGGAGTGCATTTTGGTATATTTTTAGTTTTAGAGAATCACTAAAAGACTAGGAGATTAAGTGACTTACCTAAAGAAAAACAAAGTACGTGTGTGTGTACACACAAAATGAAAAATATAAAAAACATAAAAAACTCAAAAGATGTCAAGAGAAAAATTTTAAAATGTAAATGTACTCTATCACATTCCTGTAACACAATTTGTTTAATCTCTCTTCTACGTGTGCCACTGTGAGTTAGAGTCAAGGACTTGAATTCAGATCTTCCTGGCTCCAAGGCCATTTTGCTACCCACTATACCATGATACTTCTTATGATCACATGATCATCTAATTTTTACTTTGTAATCTGTTGTATATGTACATAAAGAGTTATAGTGAAGAAACTTTTAAAAATTTAAAAATTTATTTTTTATTTATTTTTAACATTTGGTTTTTTTTCCTAAAATTTTGAGTTCTGAATTCTCTCCCTCTTTCTCCTCCTCCCTCCTTGAGAAGGCAAGTACTTTGACATAGATTATACATGTACAGTCATGCAATTTCCATATTAACCATGCTTCAGAAAAAAGGAAAAAAATATGCTTAAATCTACATTCAAACTCCATCAGTTCTTTCTCTGGAGGTGGATGGCATTTTTTATCATAAGTCCTTTGGAATTGTCTTGGATCATTGTTTTGCTGAGAAGAGCTAAGTCATTCACAGTTGATCATCATACAATATTGCTGTTACTGTATACAATATTCTTCTGGATCAGCTCACTTCATTTTGCATCAGTTCATGTAAGTCTTCCCAGGTTTTTCCTAGAACCATCCTGTTTCTCATTTCTTATGGTCCATCATGATTATATACGACAGCTTGTTCAACCATTCCCCAAATGATAGGCATGCCCTCAATTTCCAATTCTTTGCCACCACTAAATTATTTTGTACATATAGATCCTTTTCCTTTTTCTTTGATCTCTTTAGTATACAAATCTAGTAGTGGTATTGCTGGGTAAAAGGGTATGCAGTTTTCTAGCCCTTTGAGCATAGTTCCAAATTGCTCTCCAGAATGTAACCATTCTGGATCACTTCACAACTCTCCTAATAGTGCAGTAGTGTCCCAGTTTTTCCATATTTCCTTCAACATCTGTCATTTCCTTTTTCTGTCATGTTAACCAATTTTATAGGTTTGAGGTGGTACCTCAGAGTTGTTTTAATTTACATTTTTAATCAATAGAAATTTAGAGTATTTTTTTCTTATGACTGTCTGTATGAAGACATTTTCACTCAAGCAATTGAAGCACAAAGTACCTGCGTACCAGGAGGCTGTCTTCTAAGAGCCATTCCCCGATAGATAAGTGGCCAGACAATTTGAACAATTCTCAAAAGAATTACAAACTACTAATGACTATATAAAAGACTGTTCTGTGTCACTAATAATAAGAAAAATGCAAATCATCTCATGTTTCATCTTATCTCCAAATTTACAAAAATGGAAATAGACAGTGTTGGAAGGGGTGATGGAAAGATAAGCGCAATTTTCGGTGGGGCTGTAAATTAGTCTAACCATTAAGGAATTTGTAATTCTAAGTTTTTAAAGTGACTAAAATGTCCATACCTTTTAACCCCAGAGATTCTTCCTCCTAAGTATATAGTCCAAGGGAGTCAAAGTTAGAAAGGTCCCATATATACCAAAATATTTATGAGAACACTTCTTGTAGTAGCAAATAGGAAACAAAGTAAATATCTATTGATTAGGGAATAACTACACAAATCATGGTGTATTAAGAAATTATGAATATGGAAAACACAGACATGAATGAGAATAAATATGAAATTATTCAAAGTGAGGTAAGTAGAACCAAGAAGACAATATATACAACTACAATAGCATAAACGGAAAGAAAAACAGCAAAAAAATTTTTTAAAATCAAAACTAAACACTTATTATGACTAACTTCCCTCCCTTCTTTGTAGATATGGGGTAGCATGGGTGTGGAAGACTGTATATTGTCAAACTTGGTTCAAACATTGTTTAGATTTGCTGAAATACTTTTCCCCCTGCACTTTATTATAAGAGATGGTTATCTGGGTGAGGTTGGAGGCAGGTCTGTATTTGGAACTGAAGGTGATATAAAGACTGAAGATATCAAGAGAAAACTTTTAAAATGTGAACACATTTTATCACATTCCTATGACAAAATTTATTGTCATTATTTCTTGGTTACTACAAAAAAGTGCTGCTATGTATATTTTAGTAAATATGGGAACTTTCATACTGTCTTTGGCCTGCTTGTAGTACATTCCTAGCACTGGAATCTCTGGGTCAGAAGCAGTGGACACTTTAGTAATTTTTGTTAACACAAAGGGATTTTTTTTTAAGACAATGAAAGCTAGGGGCATCTAGGGGAAACAGCGAATAGTGTTATAGTCAGAAAGACTCATCTTTCTGAGTTCAAATCTGGCCTCAGACACTTATTAGCTGTGTGACCCTGGGCAAGTTACTTAATCTTGTTTGCCTTAGTTTCCTCATCTGTCAAATGATCTCAAGAAGGAAATGGCAAACCACTCTAGTATATTTGCAAGAAAACTCCAAATGGGGTCACAGAGAGTTGGACATGACTGAAAATGATGGAAGAACTACAGCAACAAGGCATATTACTGAAGAACAACAAAGCAGGGAAGGTAAGACAGAATGATTAATGAATGGGGTGAGATCAACCAGTTAATCAATCAACGAGATCTTCAAGAAAACTAGAGAATATGGAATGAAGAACATAAGAAAGGGGGTTAGTTTGGGCAGGAATAAGGCCCCTCTTAGCTTTGGAAACTGGAGCAGAGAAGGAGATGGACTGAAATGTAGAAAAGTTTTAAGGTGTTAAGTAGAGGAGATAAGGGAGCTCACAATGAATGGCTTGGATCTCCCCAGTAAGTTAGGTGGGGAGGTCTTCTCCAGAGAGAAAGGTTATTGGAGATGGAATTGGAGACTTGCAGAAAGAAAGGATCTGGAGTGTGATACTCAATCAGAAATAAATAAAAGGATTTTCACACCGCAGTTAGGGCCTGGTTGAGGTTCAGTAATATTGCTGGCCAGGAATGCTCTGGTCTGATGCTCCAGGTTGGAAATAGGAACAGAAGAGACAAGGATACATCATTGATTCAGTTGAAGGCAACTCCCCTACATCTGTGTTCGCCATGTTGATGTGTCCATTGAGTCTGCAGCAGAACTACCCCTTTCCTTCTTGTGGGCTGGCTTTTGTACTTAGGCCACCAGAAAGCTACATCAGTAGCTTGAGTGTGGTTCCCAGAACCAGTTAAGTCTTTGCATACATCTTAAGGAAAAACTCACATGGCAAATATTGCTTCTGCAGCTGATAACATGAATTTTTAGTGGACATGGCTGGCATGGATGCATGACTTCTAGCCGTGTTCTGGACTTAGATATAGGAGCAACAGGGAAATAAGTTGATGAGAATGACCAAAGATGGAGGATTGACAGGGTGTCACCTGTGAACCACAAAGGGGCAAGGGATTTAGTAGTAATTTGACAGTAATTCTTTTTTTTCCCCATTTTTAAGCATTTTTGTTGGAAGTTTTGTGTTCCAAATTATATTCCTCCCTCTCTCCCTCCCCTCTCCCTTCCCTGAGACGGTAAGCTATCAGATAGAAGTTATACATGTGTATATATGTAAAACATTTCTATATTAGGAATTTTATACAAGAAGACTTGCATAAAAGAAAAAAATGAAAGAAAGTGAAAAATACGATGCTTTAGTCTGTATTCAATATCAGTTCCTTCTCTAGAGGTGGACAGTATGCTTCGTCACGAATCCTTTGGGATTGTCTTGGATCATTTTATTGCTGAGAAAGCGAAGTCATTTACAATTCTTCAATGAACAATACTGATGTTACTGTGTACAATGTTCTCCTGTTTCTATTCACTTTATTTTGCATCAGTGCATATAAGTTTTTCCAGTTTTTTTCAGAAATCATCCTGATTGTTATTTCTTATAGCGCAATAATATTCCATCACAATCATATACCATAGCTTGTTTAGCCATTCCCTAATTGATGGGTATCCCTTTGATTTCCAAGTCTTAGTTACCACAAAAAGACCTGCTATAAATATTTTTGTACAGATAGGTACTTTTCCCTTTTTTGGATATCTTTGGGATATAGATCTAGCAATGGTATTGCTGGATCAAAGGGTATGCACAGTTTTAGAACCCTTTGGGCATACTTCCAAATTGCTCCCCAGAATGGTTGGATCAGTTCACAATTCTACCAACAGTACATCATGTACCATTTTTCCCACATCCCATCCAACATCCAGCATTTTCCTTTTTTGTCATATTAGCCACTCTTATAGGTGTGAGGTGGTACCTCAGAGTTATTTTAATTCACATTTCTCTGATAAGTAGTGATTTAGAGCATTTTTTCATATGTGTATGGAAAGCTTTGATTTCTTTGTCTGAAAACTGCCTGTTCATATCCTTTGACCATTTATCAAATGAGGAGTGACTTGTAGTTTTATAAATTTGACTCAGTTTTCTATATATTTTAGAAATGAGGCCTTTACCAGAGATACTTGTTGCAAAAAAAATTCCCTCCAGTTTTGTGCTTTCCTTATAATTTTGGTTGCATTGGTTTTGTTTGTGCAAAAACTTTTACATTTTATACAGTCAAAACGATCTGTTTTACATTTTGTAATGCTCTATCTTCTTTGGTCCTAAATTCTTCTCTTATCCATAAATCCTAACAGAGAAACTATTCCATGTTCTCTAAATTTGCTTATGGTATCATCCTTTATGTATAACTCATATAACCCATTTTGACCTTATCTTGGATTATGGTCTGAGATGTTGGTCTATACCTAGTTTCTGTCATACTGTTTTCCAGTTTTCCGAATAATTTTTGTCAACAGTAATTCTAAAATAGAATAAAAGCAGCTATAACAAACAATTGGTTCAATACATTTTATTCGTTTTTTTTTTCCAGAAATGCTCATATTGTCTTAAGAAAGGAGCTACTGTGGGATGTGATATTAAAAAATGTTCCAAGAATTATCATTTCTTCTGTGCCAAACAAGACCAAGCAAAAATACAAACTGATGAACATGGTGGAACTTACAGGTATTTAATGAAAACTTTACTAAGCATGTTTTTTATTTAGGAAGGAGTGTTTTTATTTTTTGTTATTTTGAACTTGACAAATACCATTTGCACAACAACAACAGTCCAAGCATGGGAGATAGCCCATGCAAAAGCACAGAAATAGTAGGAGATCAAATGCTAAGTTCAGGGAAGAGGAAATAGTACAATTTGGCTGGAACGTGAAATAATGAAAAGTAAGCCTAAAAGGAGGTAGATTGTTAAAGACTTTTAAGGCCAGGCCAAGCAGCTAGATTGCTTGGTGGATAGAATGCGGATATAGAGTCAGGAAGACCTGGATTTAAATCCTATTTCACTTACTAGCTGTGAGAGTAAGCAAGTCACTTAACCTCTGTTTGCTTGAGTTTTCTCATCTGTAAAATGGAGATAATAACAGCATCTATTTGTCATTGTGAGGGGAAAAAAAAAGAAATAATACAATATATGTAAAGCACATCCACATCCAGAGAAAGAACTGATAGACTCTGAATACAGACCAAAGCATGTCATTTTCACTTTCTTTGTTTTTTTGTGTGTTTTTTTCCTTTTGATCTGTTTCTTCTTTCACAACTGTGACTAAGATGGAAATATGTTTTATATGACAGCACATATATAATCTATATCAGATTGCTTGCCATTTTAGGAAGAGAGGAGGGGAAGGAAGGAGGAAGAAAAATTTGGAACTCAAAATTTTATAAAAATGAATTCTAAAATTGTCTTTACGTATAATTGGAAAAAGTACTATTAACCCCCCCAAAATTATATGAAAGCACTTTGTAAGGTGCCACATTAAGTGTTAGCTATTATTACTTTATCCGAGCAGCACTTGGAAGCTACTGAGAACTGTGAACCAGAGAATAACATGATTAGATTTGTATGTTAAGAATATTAATTTGGCAGCTGCATGAAAGATTGAGTAGAGAAAGGATAGACTTGAAGTATGGAAACCAATTCAGCATTTATTGCAGTAGTCCAAGCAAGAGCTGATGGAGACCTGTGTAAATGTGGTAACAGTGTGAGTAGAGAAAAGGCATTAATTAGGAGATACTAATTAATGAGCAATGCAAGTGTGCTGTAAATGTTTAACAATCAGCTCTCTCCCACACAAAATGTGCGTGGGCACTTTTAAGTTTAATCTGCATTAACATTTTCTCCATCACTTTCTTAAGAAACAATAATTTATTGTTCCATGACAAATAACAAGCAACAAATTCGTGTTTTGCTGATTGTCTAGCCTTACTTTGTAGCATTTACCGATTTCCAAATTGTAAATGCTTACACTGAAAATTTAACAGTTAACACTCATTAGCCACTCATTAGCACTCATTAGCCACTGGCTTAGCACACCTCTGAAGCAGATACATTTTCTAATGAGAGACAGACAGGAGCAGGAAGCAGATTTAAAGATTGTGAATCTTGACAAAGAGAAGAAAGGAGAATTAGCTCTTGCAGCTGGGTCTTGAGTCGTGGAGAAGAGCAATGCTGCAGAGCCCAGCTGAGTAACTCACCCAACAGGGGAGGAGAGATCTGTGTGAAAATCCCACAGGAAATGACATGTGTGCTTAATGGTACCAGAAGCACGAGTTGCTTTGGTCCCATATATTCTCTATGTATATGCCTCATTACCATTGTAAATAGGTGCTCACTCTTCCCTCTAACACTGTTATATATTTGTGGGAGAGTAAGCCACAAGTTTATAAGGGAAAACGTTTTATAAGCTACTGTTATTACTATATCATCATCTGATATATAGGTATATCATACTATATCATCTTAGTAAAAATGCCTTTGCTTTGAAGTAATTGGATCTTCTGGCTGATTTTTTAAGGTAACTCCCCAGTAGGGGCTTGTGAACTATAGTTGTAGGAGTACAGACACTTTGAACTTGAAGGAGTAGTAGTAATAGTTATTTTCCCTGTGGTGACCCAACCCAAACTTGGGAGTGCTGATTTAGGTATCCCAGAGGAGGTGTTATGAAAAAAAATCCATTGGGTGAACACGCTAACGTGTCAAAATACATGGCTCACAACACTCTTGAGTACAGCCCAAAGTGTGTTAAAATGTAATTGGGAAACATTTATCAAAATAGATAAAAATTAAATATAACAGATAATATTACATTTGTAAACTAAGTCAGTATACAGCCTGTAGAGATCCTTATATACAGTTTAATGGCCCCTGTTTCTATTTGAATTAAACACCACTGATCTACATGCCTAAGGCAAGGGAACCTATGATGAACTGGTTCTCATAATTTGCTTTAAAATGGTATAAAGTTAGTGATAATTGAGAGGTGAGGGTCTGAGCTCTTTATTTTTTTAGGTGAGGCAATTGGCTTGCTCAGGGTCACAGAGCTAGTATCAAGTATCTGAGGTCGGATTTGAACTCAGGTCCTCCTGACTCCGGCTGGGAGCTCTATCCACTGCACCACCTAGCTGCCCTGATACATTTTGATCTCTGAAACCTATCTTAGGGCTTATGGGCTAGATTTATTTATTTATTTATTTATTTCATTCATTCATTCATTCATTCATTCATTCATTCATTCATTTATTTATTATTTTAGTGAGGCAGTTGGGGTTAAGTGACTTGCCCAGAGTCACACAGCTAGTAAGTGTTATGTGTCTAAAGGCAGATTTGAACTTGGGTCCTCTGACTCCAGGGCCAGTGCTCTATCCACTGTGCCACCTGCCTGCCCGTTCTGTGCTCTTTTTAAAGAGCATAGTAGTACCCTAGCTGATGATTATAGATGAGCTGTAAGCTTAAGGACGTGAACACTGTTGATACTCAACAGTTGACGCCTAACTCAACAAAAAGCAAGTCCTGGGAGTCCAATGGAGCCATTGCCCAGCAGAAATGCTGTGCTCTGTCAGGAGCGGGCTCAGTCTCTTAGGGGGTGAGCTACCCAGCACAGATACCACACTCAAATAGAAATCAACCTTTCGCATGGACACCTGATATGCCTTGACTATTTGTCCCCCAAGCATGTGCCTCTACTTTTCTCACTCTTCTCGTTGATGATATGTGTATTTATAGCAGGATCCAGGCTTATGGGGAGTAGGGAGGAGGAAGGGGGCATGTTTTCTAGCTGCTTTCTTTACAATGCCATCTCAGCAAATGCCGAAGCTATTTCAACTGAATGACTCTTGAATAGGGGGAGGGAGTGTTCACTATACCAGATGATTCAGAAATGGTGTCCTCTTAGGCAGAAAGAACTAGAAACCATTCCCTTCGCCTACAGCCAAAACACTAGGTCCTCCAGTTTGCACAGGTTGAAGACCTGTGGCATTATTGCAGAAGGCTAACCTTTGGCTCATTTCAATAGATGCTCTCCTATTTTTCCTTCCGCCTATCTGGCCAACTCTTTTTCAGCGTCCTTTGTTGGCTCCCATCTCCCCCCCCCCCCGAACCTGAGCCTTCTTTCCTTCTTTTTCTATAAACTCTCTCTTGGTGATTCCATCAGTTCCCAAAGGTTCAGTTATTCCTATTTAGCTGACTCCCAACTCTATGTATCCAAGCCACCATTCCAGCAACTACTTCAGGAGCCAAGCATCAGGATTAAGCTTTGAGAAAGCAGAGGGCAGAATGGGATAAGGGCAAGGTTTAACCCCATCTTCAGAGAAATGGAAAAATAACAAACAATTCATCTGGCCAGGAACTGAGAGAGAACAAAGTAGACCCACTAAGGAAAGGCAGCTTCAGGGAGCTCAGCCCCCATGGGCTAGGGAATTTCATGATGACTCCTCAGATGGAAAGAAGGACTTCAATTCATCTCAAAACTGTGCAGTTGCTATTTCTTTGAGGAAATTGTGCTGTTAGCTTTGGAGTTCTTCTCTAGACACTACCTTCCAAGCTACACTGGCCTGCTTGCACTGGCCTTCCTTGCACAGGACGCTCCACCTCCAGAGTCTTCTTTTGCATTGGCTGTCCCTCATCTATGGAATGTTTTCTCCATCTTCACCTCCTCTTCATGGCTTCCCTGATTTCCTTCAAGACTCAGTTTAAATCCCACTTTTTAATAGGAGAGACCTTTTCCTGATCTCCCACCCCAGTGACTTCCCTCTGAGATTACCTTCCCTCCCACTCTGTATGTTATGTATCTTATATGTGCATAATTACTTAATTGTTTCCCCCATTCAAATGTGAGCTCTTTAAGGGAAGGACAGCACTTTTGCCATTCTGTGTATCCCCAGAGCTTAAGCACAGTGCCTGGCACATAGTAAGGGCTTAATAAATACTTGTTGACTGATAGAAATTATTTTACTAGTATGTATTAATAACCAATTATTAATTTGGGATCTAGGCTTTTCTCCTTTATTTACTCACATAAGGCCCAGCCCCCATAAAAAGTCAATTTCTGAAGGACATGACTGATTGATGAGATTGTCTTAGCCCTCAAGGAAATATGCTCTTCAATCTTGGGTAGGAACCTACCCAACTAGGAGACTTAATTTCTGTTCAGAATGTAAACAAAATCCAGTCTAGTTGAGTTCTTGGGGGGGGGGCAGGGAGTTGTGGGGAAAGGAGCCCTTGTACTTGTATCTGTCTATTAGAGTTAAGGGTGACCCAGTTCATGAAGGAGAAAACCAACTAGAGTGATCTGGATGGAGATGGATTCCCCTCCAGATTGCTGGAGGCAGCTAAGTCACATGATCAAGCCATGTTCTCAGCAGGATCTGAAGACTTTTAGCCCACCTCCTCATTAAATGTCCACTAATCAGGGTTGATTTTCACTTGTCAGGAGCATTCCTTTTCAAAAAATATTTAAGGCCTTCAGCCTCTCAGTGTTTTTATCTTTGGTTACTGAAACCACTGACTATAAATTTGTTTGCTAGCTAGCTTAATTAAAAAATGAATTATTAATTACCCAGAAACACTGTCTCTCGGGTTTTTCATTCTTCACAGTGATTTGACTTACCTCTCTTTCCTAAGTGGTAATCCTACATCACTATTTGGCTCTTAGGTATCTCCAACTTTATGTGCTATAGCAACATCTCAAAGACAAGATTAGTAAACTCATTCTCTTCCTCCCATTTCCTTCCTTATTTCTTTCAGGAGCACCACCATCCTTCCAGTCAACAGATTCAAAGCCTCCAAATCAGTCTCAACTCTTTGCTTTCTCACCCCCTACCAAATCCAACCAATTTTGTTGATTCTATAGCTCCAGAATACCTTGCATCTATCATCTTCTCTCCATGCACAGCCACCATTCTAGTTGAATGGACTATTGAAATGGAATCTTAATTTATCTCCTTGTCTCTACTCTCTGATCTGTCTTCCACCTAGATATAAATAGAACCAGAAATTCTCTTATCACTAACCAACTAATCACCAGAGCTTAAATTTGATGTCAGCTAAATTCTTTTAGGTCCAGCTAATTATGTGACTGATTATCTTAAGTAAATGGAAGTCATGGAGCCAATAAAGAAAAATTCTCTTATCACAATAGGGTCATAGACAAGAGATCTGGAAGGGACCACTGTTTATCTAATCCAGCCTTATCTTACTTATGAGGAAAACTGAGGCCTAATGAGCTTAAACGACTTGCCCAAGCAGTAATATGCAACAGGTATTAAGAGTTGAACCCAGGTTCTCTGACTTCAGAGTCCCTGCTGTTTTGAGTACCTGGGGGTAGAGTTGAGCCTTAAGGATTTGGAAAGGAAGAAGAATGAATGAATATGGGAATGTGCAAGCTCTGTTTTGTGGAAAGATGAATAGGAAAACCACACAAAGAATCATAGAGCTATAAGGGCCCTTATTTGATATAAAACAGTATTTTTAAATGTTTAAGATAGCATTTCTGTTTATCACATTGAGAAAATTTTAAAAATGTTTTTCAGGATTTAAGTCAAAGGAAATGCAAAATAAATACTAATTCTTTTAAATTACGTGTTTTAGAGTGTTCTGCCAAAAACACACCGTTCGAAAAAACAACCGTAAGTTTGTCGTCTTTGTTTCTAGATCAAATACCAAATACAGAACTATTATTTGGCTTTAGTAACAGCATAAGTTTAACCTGTGATTTCACTCATACGGAAAAATCCTGGGTGAGGAAAGAAGTCAAGTAACTTGCCTAGGGTCTCACAGCCAAGATGTAGCAGGACTTCACCTAGGTCTTCCCAGCTTTGAGACCAGCTCACCATTCTCCTACTAGGCAGCACTACCTCTATTTTTACCATATGGCATGTTAAAATGCCTATTTTATATTTGTTAAGATTTCGTTTTCCCAATGTAATAAATTTGCCTCCCAGATCAATTTGTAACTAATGTACTATATGGGACCATACAATGCTTATTGTTCTTCTCAGACTGATCATATTGTCTGTTCTGTATGTGACACCCTCCAGATACACTGAAAACAGCCTTGTCCCCTTTTATCTTTAGCAAAGTCATTTGACTCCTATGAATGAGTTTCTTCTCTTTTAAAACAGTGATAATACAATTTTTAAAACTCCTTCCCCTCCCCTTTATTGTGGCTTTGTTGTTATTTTAGGAAACATGGATTAATCTGAATTCTTTATCAAGCCTATGGGCTTGCTATATATGCACATTCTCAATGAGCCTGCCATAAACGGGTAATCTGGGTTTAGAACACAAGATATAATGCGTTAAATAACATTCTACTTTTTGTTCTTATAATATAGAGATGCCATGTCAAAGGAAAATTATACTCTAGGGCATGAATTCTTAACTTTTTTTGTGTTGTGGATTCCTTCAGCAATGTGGTAAAGACTATGGACCCCTTCACAAGTCCATAAGCATTTATTATGTACCCACTATGAACCAGGCACAGAGAAATGTCTGTTGCCTACATTCATAATTGAAGGAAATGATAAATTTAAATAGGAGGTATGGGGAAATAAGATGTAATTTTTTTCCCATCCAAGTTCAAAGAGCCACTGAAGTCTATCGATGGACACTAGGCTAAGAATGCTACTCTAGGGCCTTGTCATCTCAGATGAAAATTACATCCAAAATGGTCTTACTTGAAAGGCCTATACATTTGCCTCAATCCTAGGTTTTTATCATCACTGTCTTTTGTAATATAGTCTATAGTTTCATCTAAGAAAAGGGTCCATTAAGAAATTGCTAATAAAAGATGTCTAGAAAAATAATAAAGATGTCAATTACTCGTGTTTAGCCATCACTGAGTTAGTTAGGCATTGAGTAAGTCACAATAAATTCACTACTAGACACTACATCCTCAAGCTCACTAAAGCCATTTCTATGCCGAAAAGGTGTTTTCCCAACAAAAGTTGATATGCTGAAGAAAATGAAAAATGCTGGGCTCATCGAAAGTTTATTCGAATCTCTATTAGAAGATCTCGATGGGATTCATTTCAAGATTAAGGACAGCAGCACCTCAGAAAAAGGTACCATGATTATCATGTGTTAAAATGTGGAGAACCTTCCTAAAGGCTAGCAAATGAGACATAACAATTTTCTGTGTTGTTTCTCTATTTCTGTTACTTTTCTCTCTTCCCCTCCCCCATGGCAATTGGGGTTAAGTGACTTGCCCAGGGTCACACAACTATTAAGTGTCAAGTATCTGAGGCTGGATTTGAACTCAGGTCCTCTTGACTCCAAGGCCAGAGCTCTATCCACTGCATCACCCAGCTGTCCCTCTGTTACTTTTCTCTCACATTCTTTTAGGATTTAGAGTTCAGTACAATGGTGTTAAACTCAAATAGAAACTGATCTTTGTTGGCCACATGTTGACTTAGAAAACCACAAATTAACATTGTCCGTGTTATGTTGTATTTTTTATTTATTTTCTTAAACATTTCCCAATTGCATTTTAATCTGGTTCAGGCCACACTTGGGGGTTCTGGTTTAGCAGAGTGGGAGCTCCATGAGAACAGGGACTATTTTGTTTTTGTCTTTGCATCATACATTTTATCTTTGTAGTCATACAAGTGCCTAACATATTGCCTTGTATCTAGTGAACCCTTACCAAATGTCTGTTCCATTGCATTGAGTTGGGATGGCAGCCCAGACATCTCGACTTCAAGTTCAACATTCTTGAACTTTTTTATCACAAGATTGATGAATATACAGAAACAAGGAGAGGCTCTGGGAGAACCTTGTTCACAAGATATATATACTGAGAAATGTCAGTGATGTGAAAACGAAAAGATATCAGTAAAACCTCATTTTAAATAACAAGATTAATGAAATCATAATGAATGAGTCTAGCCCCCAGAAGTGATTTGACTAATTACGTCCTGCCCTTCACTGCAGTGTGTGTGTGTGTGTGTGTGTGTGTGTGTGTGTGTGTGTGGAATGTTCCACGTGTCAGACTTTTTTGATGTGTTGATTAGTTTTGCTGAACTATTGTTTTCATCATCTTTTCATTCTTTGTGGAAAGGGATGGTTCTCTGGCAGGGGGCAAGGAATGGGCATATCTGGAAATGGAAGCAATATAAAAAGATATCAATAAAAATTTATTTAGCAAATACATAATTATGTAGTTCAGAGCTGCATTTAACCACAAAACACTCAACTGAGATTTCTGAGTTCTAAGTTGATTGTGCAGAATGCAGTCTCCTTAAAAATCAGTGTATCTATCTCCTTATAGTCTAATTCAGAATTCAGATTGTAATAGCAAAGCCCTCCCAAATTACAAAAAAAAAAGGTGGTTGGAAAGAAGTTTTTTTTATAGTTTTTCACATTTAGATTGAAGCTTAATTTGATAACTCTTGGCTAAAGATCTGAAGCATCCTATTTGAAACTGTGAACTCTTTATAACCAGAGATGCAGCTAGATCATATACTAAACTTCAGCAAAATTAGAATATTCCCTTATTCCTAAGAATGAGAATTATGAAAAGCAAATTAATTCAGCTTATGTTTTTCATTTGTCTCAATCACTGATAAGGAACACAGTATTATTTTATATTTGTTCTAATACCACCTATACTTTCGTGGATATATATTATCTTCCCTGTTTGAATGTGAGCTCATCAAGGGAGGGCAATGATCATTTTGCATTCCTAATACACAGTTAAGTGCTTATTGAAAGCACTCGTCGATTGACTAGTGAAGGTCTGGTCCCCATGTAGATAGCTGACTAAAATGAATCCTTCTCTCTTCTCTCCTCCCAGAATTACAAGAAATTGCAACCTTACTTTTTGACTGTGCCATATTTAGAAAATCACTAAGGAAAATATCTGCAGGTATGTACTTTTGAGTTTAAAATAACCATTATAGCAGAGTTTAGATAAAAACATTTAAGGCATTGAAAGAGTAAGTGAATAGAGAACTGGGCCCCCAGTCAAGGAAACCTGGATTCAAATTCTTCCTCTGGCAATATACTGCCCACTCAGTACCCAGAGTACCTCTCCGTGTAATCTGCAAAACATTTGTTAATGGGAGTTCCTTTCTGGAACTTCCCTGTACTGATGAAATCCCAGATCTAGACCCCTCATCATTTTTCATTTAATATTTTTTTAAAACTTAGTATTTTGTTTTCCCCCAGTTACATGTAAAAACAATTTTTGACATTTGTTTTTAAAACTTTGAGTTCCAAATTCTCTCCCTCTCTCTCCACCCCCCCCATTGAGAAGGCAAGCAATTAGATATAGGTTGTATATGTGTAGTCATGCAAAACATTTCCATAATAGTCACATTGTGAAAGAAACCATAGACAAAAAAAATACTCAAGAAAAATAAAGTTGGGGCAGCTAGGTGGTGCAACGGATAGAGCACTGGCCCTGGAGTCAGGAGGACCTGAGTTCAAATCCGGATTCAGACACTTGACACCACTAGCTGTGCGACCCTGGGCAAGTCACTTAACCCTGATTGCCTCACCAAAATAAATAAATAAATAAATAAAGTAAAGTTTTAAAAAAGTATGCTTCAGTCTATATTCAGACACCATCAGTTATTTTTCTGGGGATGGACAGCATTTTTCATCATAAGTCATTCAGAATTGTGTAGGATTATTGTATTGCTGAGAATAGCTAAGTCATTCACAGTTGATCATTGTACAATACTGCTGTTACTTTGTACACAGTACATTTCACTTTGCATCAGCTCATGTAAGTCTTTCTAGGTTTTTCTGAGAGCATCCTGCTTATCATTTCTTATAGTACAGTAGTATTCCATCATAATCACATACCACAATTTGTTCAGCCACTCCCCAGTTGATGGGCATCCCCTCAACTTCTAATTCTTTACCCCCAGGAAAGAGCTGCTATAAATATTTTTATACATATAGGCCTCTTTCTTTTTGTTTTTCATCTCTTTTGGGATACAGACCTAGTAGTGGTATTGCTAGGTCAAAGGGTATGCATGGTTTTATATCCCATTGGGCATAGTTCCAGATTGCTCTACACAGTGGTTGAATCAGTTCACAACTCTACCAGCAGTGCATTAATGTCTCGTTTTTCCCATGTCCCCTCTGACATTGGTCATTTACCTTTTCTGTCCTGTCAGCCAATCTAATAGGTATGAGGTACCTCAGAATTATTTTAATTTGCATTTCCTTTATCAATTGGGGAATGGCTCTTACTTGCATAAATTTTACTTCTCTATATGTTTGAAAAATGTATATTATTCCCTCTTTGAGCCAATTCTGATGAGAGTAAGGTTCACTCATTTCCTCTCACCTTCCCTTATTCCCCTCCACTGTTAAAGCTTTTTCTTGCCTCTTTTATGTGAGATAATTTACCCCATTCAAACTCTCCCTTTCTTCTTCTTCAATACATTCTTCTCTCATCCCTTAATTTTATTTTTTAGATATCATCCCTTCATATTCAATTCATACCTGTGCCCTCTGTCTATATATATGTCTTCTTACTACTCTTAATGAGAAGGATCTTATGAGTTACAAATATCATCTTCCCATGTAGGAATGCAATCAGTTTAACCTTATTTAAGTCCTTTATAATTTCCCTTTTCTGTTTATCTTTTTGTGTTTCTCTTGAGTCCTGTTTTTGGAGGTCAGATTTTCTGTTCAGCTCTGGTCTTTTCATCAAGAATGCTTGAAAATCCTCTATCTCATTGAATGTCTATTCTTTTCCCCTGAAGGGTTATACTCAGTTCTCCTAGGTAGATGACCCTCATCATTTTTTAACACAAAAAAATTCCTTTGTTTTTGCAAGGTTTTCTAAACCTGTGAATGAATTAATGAATGAAACAATAATACTTTGCAAAAGGCAACCTCATATTGATGTTTGGAGAGGGAACCTCATTTTCCCCTATTAGAGAAAAGTTGTAACCTTATTTGGGGTGATTCTCATGGACTACAGACAGTGATCACTCTGAAGAAAGATAAAACTAAAGGTGCTATCCAGTTGACCACCAAAGATCTCTGAAGCATTTTCATGATAGATCTTTAGTGCAAATGTTCTTACTAAATTACATTACAGGTGGTAGTGATCTGCATCTCTCTACAATGGAATTTGATTTTTATGTTCTGTCATGAAGTAATTTAAGTGATAGTTATAGATGGTGTCTTCACAGGGATTTGCTACCTAGTTTTAAGGTGGGGTTAAAACCAAATCTAGAATTGTGCTCTGGATGAAAAGTGTGTGAGTTTGCAGGGAGAGATATCAGGTGAGTTATTTTTGTGTGTGTGACACCTAAAATACCTACTTCATTTAAGGGAGCATAATTACCCTCCATTCCCCAATCAGAGTACCATGTTTCAGAGAGAAATCTTGAGATAAAACAAAGTAGAATTTTGATATTTTGAATTGATCTAACATCCTTAAAGTGATTTAAGATGTATCTGGAAGTGACTTGTGAGCAAGGGTACAACACTTCATGCTGTAAAAACAGAATGATCTGAAATAACTTTATTTGTTCTTACTACAGACACTGTGATATCAAAACTTCAGAGTGAGCAGGAGCACCTGCAGAAGAAGATAGAAGTACTCCAAGACATTGGAGAAAACATGTTTCCTCTTCAGAAAGATATATAGCATTAAGTACTCAGCTGGTTCTTGACCTTTCTTTTTAACCTGCTGTTTCTTAAACTGGGCACTTGTGGGGAATTTTTTAAGAATGTTTTATCACTGTACTGTTCTCATCCTATGACCTCTCAATGATTTTTCCCTCCATTTCCAAGTAGAATCCTCCCTTGTAACTCTTCCCCATTAGATTGTGAACTCATTGAAGGCAGGGATTGTCTTCTGCCTCTTTTTGTATCTTCAACACTTTTAGCACAATGACAGGCACATTGTAGGTGCTTGATGTTTATTGATTGATTAGTAACAAGTAATGAGCCAAGCCAACACATTTTATATGGATTTATGTGAATGTCATAACCTTTATTATGAAATAATCAGATTCATGCTGTGACTTTTTAAAAATTGATGCTTTGTTATCGTTCGGTCATTTCAGTTGTGGCCAACCCCATTTGAGGTTTCTTGGCAAAGATACTGGAGTGGTTTGCAATTTCCGTCTCCAGCTCATTTTACGGAGAAGGAAACCGAGGCAAACTGAAGTTAAGTGACTTGCTCCCAGTCACATAGCTAGTAAGTGTGTGAGGCCACATTTGAACTTAGGTCTTCCTGACTTCAGGCCCAGCACTCTATCCACTTCAGCACTCCACTGCCTTTAATTGATTCTACTTAAAATTAATTGATTTTGTACTGTAATGGACTAAGGCATGGTTGTCTCTGATCTGGCCTGTAATGAATCAGGTTTAGAAATCCAGTTTTATTATTAATCATGGTTCTGTTCTTGTGTCAAGGAAATATGTTACCCTTGAAGGAAGCAGGTGGATCCCAAGGAGTCTGTTCTAGTGTCTTTATGCCACTAAGCTATCTCTCAAGGACGTCTGGTTTGTTATTTGAAGAGGTCTGATTCGCTTCCTCTGTCCTCGCAGATGCAGACTCAAACAATGAACATTTCTTAGTCATAGGAGGGAAGGAAGGGGTTGTTGCTGGCCTCATCTCCAAACTTCCATCCAATCATGTTTTCGTCCATCTATGATGCTAGGCTGCCTATTTTATGTACTCTCCAAAACTATAAAAGAGAGTTGTCCCCCACATTCAAGGTTTTAGCTTTGCTGGGGAAGATGAGATTCTATTTATTGGTAAATTCATGCTTTACTAATAAATTGATTGGGCTTGAAACTTTGTGCCTTAGTCTGTCTTAATTTTAACTGTTAACGGTTTGGAAGCCACAAAGGCATTGGGGATGGGAAGTTTAGCTCTGGGGCAGCCTTTTGGGGGGTATTTCCCTTTTAACAGCACTCAGGTAAGACTTTCCACCCAGATAGGAGTACCCCCTTCAGTCCCAGCCTTTCAGAGCTAAGGTAAGTCCCACACATACTGTTGGGAAAATCTTGCCTTGTTTCTCTTATGTTCTGTTTGTGTTTAAGTGTGACTGTTGATAGCATTTGGCAATCATAAACCCAGAAATCAGAATTAGGGATTAAGAATGTTGAAGAAATGTTTTTTTCCCTCTTAAAGGGCTCCAGATTTCCTGCCGGGAGAGGCCCACATTATTGACATTGACATCCCTTTAGGGAAATACTGTAACACCAAGACACCCCTTAGGGAATTGCCCACTTCCACTTCAGGGAGTTGAAGGAGTAATGAAGAAACAGAGATACTTCATATCTGAAGAAGGGTTTGGGAAAGCATGTGTCCCCAGTAACCATTAATGGCAAGTGGCATGGCCGGCAGTCATAAATAACCATAGCTGGTGAGTGACTGTCAAACCAGCAGAGGATCTTCCAGCTGGAAAAGGAGAAGGGGAAACCAAAACCATTAGTCAAAAAGATATCTGTGTCATTGATTTGACCTGCAGAGGGACTTTCATTTGTACACACGAAAAAATTATTTTTTAAGAAGCTTTGTCACTAGCGTTTACCGTCTTTGTGTCTTTCTTGTGGCAATAACCCCTCATTTTATTGAGACTGCTCTTAGAAAAGTATGTGCACAGAGTTTAGAAGGAAAAACCTTGCTGGCAAATGCTTCTCTGTGTCTTGTGAACTAACTAAAAGAATGTGAATCTCTCTGGAGAGTTCTCTTAAGTCTTCAGAAAGACAGTCTCCCTTTCTGTCTACATTTCTAAGCTCTGGCCAGGTTTTGGGAGTGAAGAGAGAAAGACAGAAAAGAAGAAAGGGAATCTTTTCCCTCAGACCATATAACTTTATGACACCATAAACTAATTAGAAAGCAGCTAGGTGGCACAGTGGATAGAGTTAGGAAGACTCATCTTCCCGAGTTCAAATATGGCCTCAGATACTTACTAGCCATATGACCCTGGACAAGTCACTTAACCCTGTTTGCCTCTGTTTCCTCATATGTAAAATGAGCTGGAGAAGGAAATGGCAAAGCACTCCAGTATCTTTGCCAAGAAAAACCCAAATGGGATCATGAAGACTCAGACATGACTGAACACAAAACCAAAACTAATTAGAAACTGAGTTTGTGACTAAAATATAAGTTCTCTACTATGAATTTCCAAATTGTGGTGTGAATATTTTTATAAATGCTGAAATATTCTAGTCAGTTTTGGATTAACATTCTTTAGAATTTGTTTAAAGAAATTGAGAACACAACTATGAATGTTACATGGATCTTTTACCACTCTTCCCCTGGAAAGTGGCAGATTTATTGTTTTAAGTGTAAGAGGAAGGTAATTTTGCTGAAAAGAAAAAAGAAAGTAGTATCAGTGAAATTCTAGAGTGGAAAAAAATTAGTTGCAGCTTGCTTTTTAAATAGCTTTGGTACGTAGGAACTACCTACCTATTAATGACTCTTTCCTGGTTCTCCCCCAAAAGAGAAAAGTTTGTGTAAATCAGGAAACAACAAAAAGTAAATAAATTTTACTAAAACATCTAATTGGATACATGGGAGTTTTACATTAATTTGTAATATAGTAATATGTAGTGTGATAGATGATTAATTGGACACAAATTTTGGTCCAACAGTATTGATCGATTTGATATCATTCCATAGGGGTAGTAATTATAAATTCTGTGTATTAGGCCCCAGAGCTGTGAACTGCAGATTATAAATTCACTTGCTTAATCATAGGAAGCTAACTAGAGGACTTCCACCCATATTTTTGCCTTGTTATAGTGACCAAGCCCAGTGTGGCAGAGGTGACTCAATGACATGGAAGGTACTCCAGCTATTTTTGTTGCCCCTCCATTCCTCATTCTCCCTTTATTGCCGAATATGGGGAGAGGGCCATGAGTATTTGGCCAATAAATGACCCTGTTTGCCTGTCTGTGGCCTGCCTTTCTATTGACTCATCAGCTTATGTAAATGTTTTGATAGCTTGGGAGGATCTCCTGAAAGTCGATAGGTCTGTCAAAGTCTTCTCATCAGTTTGTTTGTCAACCAGTAGGAATCTGTATTTTAGACTCTTCTGGAGAGTCAAGGGCACAGTCTATCAAACAATGAGATTCTGTCTTTTTAGTCTGCTTTATTTGTATTGTCTTGATATCAAGCACTATAAAACTAAGGCCCTAGAAAAAGGGCGCATCTCAGATCACCTCAGAGGAAGATCTGAGGTCCACTTTGTTAGAGGGGGCCATGGACCCTTTAATAAAGTGCTGTTGGTTTGGAGCTCTGCCTCAGTAGTTTTTCTTGCAGACTGGACAATTTTGGACCCAACAAAAGTTAAGTACTAATTAATTTAGAAGGGAAATTTCAAATTAGTGTGTTTTACAATTAGAAATTTTGCTGTAAATTACATTAGACACCCCCCCCCCCAATTTGGGTAAGGATATTAATTGGAGTAGATTTTGAACAACTTGTCAAGAAGAAAATGAGACCTCTACCCATTTTAATTATTAATTTATTTTTTGGCTAGGCAATGGGGTTAAGTGAGCTAGTGTCAGGCATCTGAAGCCAGATTTGAACTCAGGTCCTCCTGACTCCAGAGCTGGTGCTCTATCCACTGTGCCACCTAGCTGCCTCCTTACCCATTTTTATAACAGACTACATAAAAGCACCAGGCAGGGTTTGGGGCTAGATCCACTTAAACTACATGATGCAGAAATTATTAACTCTGCTGTTATCAATCAATCCCTGCCAAGACTTAAGTGATGTATCTATATTTTCTGCCCTACATGGCATGAGAAGGGTACAGATGAATTTAGGAGCATCGCTATAGATGTATATGAAAGGGAAAAGGAAGAGAAAATCTGAACCAACATCACCCTGCATCCTAGAAGGGTTATATCCCAGAGAGCTAATCAACAGGTTAAAGGGAAGTTGGTTTAGGCTAAATTTCAAAGCAAGTTTATAATTTTAATTTTAATAACTATTTTGCTTCTTACCCACAAAAAGAGCTTATTTAAGGAAGCAGCTTGAATGTAAGTGAAACTTAATTTCAAAAATGCTTTATGTTACTTCTGTGAATAATGTAACAGAACTTAATTGTTTGGGTAAATTAAAAATAAGTTACCAAAAGGTATTTGATAAAAAGGATATAAGAAATGGTATGTGGTTATTCTTTATGATATAGAAAGTATAGTAATATGTTTGCAACATGAAATTATTTAAAGATAATATACTAAAATTCCATCCTTGAAAGACTATTAGAAGAGTATATTTTGGTTGTTATGTGAGTAATATAAAATCCTTATGAATCCTAAAGAGGGGGATGAGAATACAAGACTACCATTTAAAATCTTTAAAAGACGACTACCTGAAAGTAGCAGGTCTTATAATGCAAAGTATGGGGAGTATGTGGCCCTTGGAAAATCTTGAGATTTTGATTTTGTGATCGTAAATCGATTTAATATGGTAAAAGTTTATAACAAAAAATTATAATAATGTTTGGCATTAAGACAAAATGCTAAAAGAGTATGGTATGAGGAGAATATGAATTAAAAATCCAGTTTTTGTAAATTTGTTGGCTGTATGATTTTAGACAAATAACTTCATCTCTGTTTACCTTGGTATACTAATTTGTAAAAGGGATAAAAATAGCATCACGTGATTGTGATGTGGTTAACACAAGACCTGGCATATGGCAAGAACTATATAAATGTTGATTATTATCTCTTTAATTGAATGCAATTGCTCTGTACTAGGTTCTAGATGTGATTATTATAAAATGCCAAAGGTGATAAAATGAATGATTTTCTACTTAAGGTAATTTGGAGGAGCCAAGATGGCAGAGTAAAAGCAGTGATTTGCTTGAGCTCTCCCCC